ATATAGATTATTGCTATTTTGAAATAAGTTCTTAAATTTATTTTTCATAAAACATAGAATAATAACTAAAGAAGTAAAACAAACAATTATCTCTTCTAGTTACGACCTTTGTAATCTGTTGCTGCTTGACATAGGTTGCTAAGCCTTTAAAAAATTGCATGTGGAGGATATGAAACAAAATACTTTTTTTTTAGGTTGTATATATACATTTGAATAACTAAAAAAATCATAATTTACTACATTAATACCATAGAATTCCACTATAATCTATCAAGCTTAGTAAATAAGACGTATTTTAGTCTAAAAAAATATGAAATTTCGAGCAGACTAAAGACACACTCTACCTCATTGAAATATTGGTTCAAAAGAAAGAAATGGCACCAAGTATGCTAAAATTGCTGAGAAAGCCACTAAAGGAACATTCTGAGCTTTCGAGTGGTTATTCATGTCATATAGAGAAGTAAGTGTATATAAGGGAGTGTTTCCAAAAATGGAAAGAGGTGGGCAGGGTGCCACTATGTTTGATTTATTACAGGAACAGTATCTTAGCAAATTAAAAAGATAAGAGGCTTTTATTTTATATTCTAGCTTGTCAATATCGGTAATTTGAGTTTCTAATTCATTCGAAACTATAGACTTAGTATTTTGATTTCACAAACATCTAATTTGAACCAGTGCTGCATTCAGCATACCACGTGACACACAAAAATTGATGTTTATCTGTGATTTTTAAATATTTACTTTTAAATTAACAAATTGAGCAATGTATAGTACTAAAATTTGAATTGTAATCTACAGTTTAATACCAAAGTTATTGATTCATGAAATAGTAGTACAATAAAATTTTGAATCCGAGTCAACAAACAAGATGACATGTCCTTTCACCCGTGACTCATCTCAAAAGGGATAACCATCTGTATATTTAAAAAGTTTGTAAAACTGTTCGAACTAGAAAGTTAAGTCCAGGTGACATTTTTGTTTCATGTATTCTCACAGTATGTACTCTTTGAGAGTTGAAAAGTCAATGCAATATCAAGTATTATGTTTGCTAAAACCTGACCACTTATTTTTATAATACTCTGAACATTGGTATTAAAAATTAGCAGATTTTATAAGACCATTTAAAATTTTGACAACATTGAGAATAATTTCCAGATGATGATGAGAATGCCCCAGATGAAGATGAGGAGATAAAAGACGATGAAATCACTGGACCTAAACCCATGCTGCCATACTCCTCTATGTTCATCCTGTCACCAACAAATCCGTAAGTATAAATGTCTAAAATGTGTATTATCATGTGATGATCACTGGAAAGCCATTTCATGAAATTTATTTATTGAAATCTAGTTTAGTGTCCATAAATACCACAGAAGGTGTAGATTTGGTGATTTAATTTATAATAGTTTGTTTTGAAATGAGAGTTTTACTTGTAAACTAGCCTTGGCTTTAATAGAATTTTTTAAACTTATTAATGTTTTAGTTATTGAGCATACAAAGCATCATACTCACCACAGAAATCAAGAAACCTACTGCTTAATAATTAAAACAGCATCAAGGAAACCTTATTTATAATATCAAAATTTTTTCCATGAAATATTTATTGTAAATCTGAACATATTCTAATATTTCCAATGTGCCATATCAAGTAAATGTTGTGACATAATTCTAAAATATGTTTTAAAAAGTGAAAAAAATGAATAATATAAAAATTATATGCTTAATTAAAAGTTTTGGACTTGAAAATCACTTAGGATCCGACGTGCTGCTCATTATGTCGTTAGCCTTCGCTACTTCGACCTCTTCATTATGATTGTCATCTCCCTCAGCAGTATTTCACTAGCAGCGGAAGACCCGGTGGTAGAAGACTCAGAAAAAAACAGGATCCTGAACTACTTTGACTATGCATTTACTGGTGTTTTCACCTTGGAAATGTTGTTAAAGGTTGTGTAACTACAGCCATAACCAAAGTTTTTCATTCTCATAATGTTATAATGTTTAATGATAACTTTATTACACAAATAATAAAAATTCTTTCTACAGTTGTAGGAAGCAGATTGATAGTGATTACACTTAAGTTCTTGCTAAAGACTTTTCAGTAACGTATTCTTAGAACCTTAAAATTACAGTTGATTGATGGTGTAAATCCACCTGTGTCACTTCCCAGGTTGGTGGACATCAACAGAATAGCATGGGAAACACCTAGACTTTATGCTGCCCTCCCCCCAAGGCCGTAAATATAAATAGACAGATGGCTATAAATAAATAAACAGAATTCTTTAAATTTTTCAGTTATCAGAAAATAAACTAAATTATTAAATAACTAAAATAAAGTGGATAAAAGTTCCATAAAAATAAAAAGTATTGTATTCATTATTTCATGCTGGATTTTCCATAACATTACTGTATTGACCATCATGCATCATCCTGAAAAGGTGCAGAATTCATGCCTGGATAGATATGTCAGATTCATTTACCATCTAAATTACCTTGATAAAATATTTTAAAAACTCTTGAGGCATGTCAGCAACTTGTAAATAAGGTCAGGATATTTTTCTTATTATTGTGTGGTTGAAAGTTAAAAAATGCTAAATTTTTTTCACAAAGAAGCGAATCCCACCTAATCTAAGTTTTTACTTCTTCAACTGAATATATTTCCTATTATCATAATAGTGATATTAAATTGTAAGTTTTGGTTTTTCAGATTGTAGACCAAGGAGTAGTCTTACATCCGGGTTCTTACTGTCGAGATCCATGGAACATACTAGACGCCATTGTTGTAATTTGTGCCCTTGTTGCATTTGCTTATGCGTAAGTATTGTTCTTTGGTAACCGTATTTTTCAGATCTTTGTTGGTTTTTTAACATTAAGTAGACTATATGAGAAAAACTAACACAAATTATGGATTTTTTTTTCATCTTTTTAAATTATGCTGTTATCTTATTCTTAAAATTATTGTATTCTCACAACAAAGATGGAAACTAAATATGAAGCTCATATGATTTCAATTTCAGTTAAGTTTTCCACTCATTGTAATGTGAATTTAACATAGAAATTATTAAGGACATAAAATTACTGTCTATTCAGATTTATTAACATTGGGTAACAAGTTTTTAAATTAAAAATAATATACCAAGTCCTGTTATTTGGTCTCTTTGTTTATGAAGTTTATCTTTTCTTCAGTATGTTTTTTTTCTAATTATTTCTATCATTAGAGGGAGCAGTACAGGGCAAAACCTCAGTACCATAAAGTCCATGAGGGTACTTCGAGTTCTGAGACCTCTTAAAACCATAAAGCGAGTACCAAAGCTAAAGGTAAAATCCTATTTTATTAGTTAAATACCAATATTTTCCCTAGTTTAGAGAACAATCTAGTGTATTACACTATGGTCTATAAAAAAGATGTACGTAGGAAACCTTTAACCTTATTTTCCCATGTGGAGGTCAAGGTGTGGATGCCATTATCTTTTACAGAGTGCTATTCAACATGGTATTATGTATTTCATGTCAGAGTTGTCGACTATTCACAAACAGTTGATAGAAAAGGAGAATATGTACCAGATACAACAAAGAGGGGCACTTATAAGACTCTAAATATACATTTTTGAGGTTTTAGAGGTTATATAAATGCAATATTCAAACTGTAAGATGGACAAAAGTATTTGAATTCTTCACAAGAACATCATGTTGCAACCGACTTGTCAGAGTCTGAGTCAGAATGATGTTGTCAATTCACAAACATATCATGAGTACAAATACTTTTGTAACAGAGCTAATTTTTTGTGTACAAGAGACTTGCTCATTTTACACAATATACATATATACACATAGTAAATTCAGTATTTTAATCAACATTCCTTCCCAGATATAGGGTCAGTCCAATGATCAACCCCATGCACATAATGCTATTCTATTTTTCTTCAACAGCTTTCACTGTGTTATGTAAGGAACAAAACTAAAAGGGGAATAAAGACAAAACTGATAACTGCAAAATAAATAAATAAAAGTAAAATGAAAAAGGTGTCAGCTATTCCTTCCTCGGTTGCAGTATTTGTTACAAATTTCACAAGGGAATAGCGTTGAATAATCTGACAGCTGTTCAAATTTCAGGGTGTGTGTGGTGGGGTGATAAAAAATAATCTCAATATTTAAGCCTTAACTATATGGTGAAGTAAGACTAAAATTGTTCAAATACTGTTGCCCTAGATCAAATGGTCGGTCAACAGTAATAACCGATATAGTCACTCCAGTTGCTCTTAAAAGAAAAGGGAGAAGAAAAAAATTGTGTTACTAACAACAGGAAGCATTGTAATGTCGGTTAAAATACTTATTAACATCTTTATCGATTTCAATTTTCAAGTATTTACCAAATGTTATTTCTTTCTATCTTTATACAATATTTTCCTTTAAGAAACACCTGATTGAATTGCTGTTGTTATTTCTTAAAAGAACCTGATTGTTTTGAAATCACTATATTCACCTATACTAAACTATGCTATATGTGGTTGCCAGTTTAAAAATCTGTTTCCAACGAACTAAAGAATTTTTAGATTATTATGTATAACACCAGAATTATTGTATATCACATTGACAAAATGTGATACTTAATTCACTTACAATCAGTTTTGAATTAGAGTTAGTATTGCAATCCCTGAAAGTTTCAAAGAACTCAGTTTTATTATACTTTCTTGATTTCAGCTGAAAAATATAAAATGCATTTTAGATTTTTTTTATATATATATATATTCTTCCACTTAATATTTCAATGAGGTTAAAATGTAAACACTATCCTATTATGCTTTATAACATATGTTAAATATACTTACTGTTTTTTGGGGCAGGTTTAACTGGTAAGTGACAGTGTTTTCAAACTCAGGTGATTTTTTTTGTTTCTAATATGCTGTTTCATAAAAACTCATTATTGAACTTATGATGTTACATCATTGAGTAAACATCCTATCTAGGTACATTAAAAATGAACCAGTAAAAGTCAGTAGAAGAAATGAACTTTCCTGTAGGTTATATGCTAGTTTTGTGAATTTAAACTATACCTCAGTTTTGATTATATCTTCTTGTTTTTCTTTAAGGTTGTGTCTTAGTTTTATGTTAGCTACTACGAAGCACTAAATGTTTTTAATATCTCTCAGTATAAATGCAGATTTTGATAAAAATTCTTACATTAGGCAGGTTGTGATGCACTTTTGAAACCAGATATGTCTGGTATAATAATGTTTTAGTGCATACATAAAATACACTATGATATGAAATAATGCATATAACATATAGAGCATATAACTGTATTTTAAGTTTCTTGTTTGTAATTTCTGTCTTAGGTGTATATCTAATATATCTTTTTTTCTTAAAGGCCGTATTTGATTGTGTAGTGACATCACTGAAAAACGTGTTCAACATTCTCATCGTTTACGTCCTCTTCCAATTCATCTTTGCCGTCATAGCTGTACAGCTCTTTAATGGGAGATTCTTTTTCTGCAGTGATGAATCAAAACTCACAAAAGAAGAATGCGAGTGAGTTTTTTTTTCCTAGTTTATGGTGAACATTCACACACATCATTCCCAAAAATGAAACAAATTTTAAGTTTTGAATTAGCTATAGTAATCTTTTTTGTTTTTTCATATAAGTATTTTACCGTAAGCTCCTTGGTAGCTTATACTGAATTTCCGATGTAGTGTATGTTGGCTAAAATGTTTTAGTTTAGTCATTAAAACAGATGTCAGGAATCATGATGTGAAGTATTATAAAGAATCTAAATTTGATGTTTACTTTAATTTTATGTTTTATTTTAAAATAAGTAAACAATATTTTTGTTCAACCAGAGGAGAATATTTTGTGTTTACACAAGATGGGATGCCACCTGAAGTCAACAAACGGGTATGGGAAAAAAGACCATTCCATTATGATGACATTATGTCTGCTATGTTAACACTTTTCACAGTTTCAACAGGAGAAGGCTGGCCAGCGTAAGTTAGAAAACTGTACAGAGTTACACTTTATAGAAGAATGTTTTCTTGTATACTGTATACATATCGGTTATCTTAAACATTTCATTTATTTTGACCTCTTCATTTTAATTTTCAATAAATATTTACTTCAAAATTTTAGTTATTATAAACTGAGGGATATTATATATTCTCAACATTTATTATAAGTTTTGGCTATTCAAGAAAATAAATAACCTTTTTTTTTCTAAATTCATGGTATTCGTATTTAAGAATAAATCAAAAAACAATAAATTTTACTTTAGATGGCTTGCAAAATGAAATAATTATATATATTATCCCTTTATATCTTTGTAATTTAGAAGAATTAAGCTAATTTTAATTGTCTTTAGAAGTTTGGAACACACTATGATCTAAGAAAATAGTGACAAATTGTAGTTTCATCAATCTTCAATGAAAACTTACAATGACTATCAATTTGAGTACTGAATTTATGTAAAAACTTTTCCAGGTCATAAAATTAGGGATCAAGTTATAAGTGCTACTAAATTTTACAAATTTCAAGTGCTGTTTTAGTATGGTTTAATAAATACTTTTTTCCTGAAATAAGGTAACCATATTTTATTTTTCAGGGTTTTACAAAATTCTATGGATGCAACATATGAAGATTATGGACCTTTACCAAGATTTCGTATTGAAATGGCAATTTTTTATGTTGTCTTTTTCATCGTTTTCCCATTTTTTTTTGTCAATATCTTTGTGGCCTTGATCATTATAACTTTTCAAGAGCAAGGAGAGAAGGAGTTGGAAGAAGGTGATCTTGATAAAAACCAGGCAAGTTTACCACAGAAAAAGTAAAAACCTCATCTGCTTAGCCTCATACTTTTAAAGCATGAGAAAAACTAATTGCTAAGAAAATAATAAAACATTGCAAAATGCAAATCTCAGTCATTATAGAATTCTATTTTGTTACA